AATAGGTTTCACATGAGGGGCATTTCCAGAAAACCCCAGCTCACTTCCATCAGAGCCAACAGTTCATGAGGTGGAGAGAGCCTTGTGGTAAATTGTGGAGTTTGTGGAACAGCCTATTAGCCCTGGGGATTTTCTTGAACGTACTTTCAACTCCAAACGAGAGACACTTCTCTGGTCTAAAGCCAAGCTTGGAAATCCAACCATTAAAAATCTAAGTTTGATGTGCTGTAGCCACATTTTTCAAAAGTTCTCATTTGCCCGTGAACGTTTTTCAAAGCACTTAAGCATTGTCCTTTTCCGTGTCAGAGATACTTGTTGTGGCAAATCCATCATGTGTCGACGGCTGTCAGACTCTGGGAAAAACAATTAAAGGTTCCATGCACGGGTCGAGCTGCTCCAATAGTCAATGAAGCAACCTCTGTGTGTGGGCCCTGGGACGATACATTCATTAGGAAATGCCAGTGAAAGAGGATACATGTGGAAGACAATTAAATGACCTACACTATATGAGGTCGAGGACTCAAGGGGACTGAAAAGATAAAGGGAAAAGTCAACTGAAATACAAGTGTAGCCTACAGAACAAACTGTACCCAGTTCAATGTAATTATAAAGCATTTAAAACAACTTGGGTCAAAAAAGGAAATTACATTTATATGAATGTCACTGTGCTGAGAGATTGTCATATAGAGTCCACGAGAACTTCAGTAAACAAACCAAAAATAGGAGCCAAAGGTAGCTCAAGGTCTTTTGCATGCCTCCAAAAGGTCAACAGACAAAGACAAAACCTTACATTAATTTGCAGGCAAACAAACAACACACATATTCTTGGCATTTGGCCAAGTCAGAGGCAATTTATGGCCACTGATGCTGCTGTCATGCTGGTGCATGAAAGTGGAAGCCTGTAATAGTCCTTGCAGTCAATCAGTTACCATGAATCACATGCTCAGCCCATTAATGCTGCTTGTCAGTGGTGTGTACAATGCAATCAAGAGAGTGCGGAGTATTGAATCATGGGGCATATTGTTCACTAACAATACTTGGCATTGCATTGATTTCAACCAATAGTCCTTAAGCCCTCAGGCACTGGGATGTGGCTCATTGATGAGACACTTTATCTGGGGGAAAAAGGTCAGTTGGAGTGATTGATACCCTGTTTTATGAGTGCTAATACAGATGGTATTACTTGTGCATTTTGAATGCTCAATCTCAATGACATTTACTTCAACTGGGTCATAAAAAGCCAATATAAGATTGAGACTGAGTAACAACATCCTTATTTTTGTGTGTTTGAATGTTATGCATCTATAAAACATGCCATGCTATCTTGGATGGGATGGCAGCGGAGGCGAGAGCCCCTGGGGTCAATGTGGAAGCTCTTTGAGCTGTTGTTTATGACTGTTGAGCCAGAAGAGTGGAGCAGCCACCCGCGGGTGCCCGGGGTATGGATTATTTGTTTAAACATTGATCCACACAGTGTAGCTGTGAGACAGTGTGTCATTAATCTAGTTTACCTTTAAAGGTAGGGTAGGTAAGTTTGAGAAACCAGCTCGAGATCGCTAGAATTTGAAAATACACAACCGGAGGAAATCTGCCACTTCCTTACAGAGCCCCTCCTCCAACACACACGAACGCGCACATGACCAATGAGGGCACGAGATAAGTTTGTGCACAGATGGAAGGCTGACAGGCAGGTAGGCCATCCAGTTATTTTAGCCGGACCGGCTAAAATGATTGGTCGTACTTTTTACAGTATTACGGCTTCCACAGATGATGTTTTTTAATGGAATCTTTTGTCAAAGCACTTAAGATATTCATTGCTATCGGGATGTTAAGAGCATTCCATGGAATATAACAAGAAGTGTATCTCGAGCCGGTTTCTCAAACTTACCTACCCCACCTTTAAGGAAGAGATTTGAATTATTTTCTGGAATGGTATTTGAAATGCAGGTTTAGAGAAGATCCACAAATGACCTTTCTTAGGTAGCTAACGCGTGGATGTAATGACGGCAATGTCAGTCTGACAGTCAGTCGGTACACCACTTAAAGTAATTACACACTGAAATATCTAACTGCAGAATGGATTACCATAAACATTTGGAAGCAATCATGTTTCCCAGCTTTAGAGAAAAATGATCAATAACTATTGGGGGGATTATACTAACATGTAGTACAGATATTCAGGATGACTTGTAATATCTTTGGTGGTCCTGAATTTTCATCTAGTGTCATTATCAGGTCAAACTTTTATTTTCAAAATACAAATGCAAGTACTTTTGGTTTAAGTGCTTAATAGAAACATATTATAAATCCTTTTAGGTCAAAGATTCAGGTGAAATAAATATTACATTTAAAATGTAACATAATAATGAATGTTCATGTATTAAACATCACAGCTGCACGTTAGCATTGCTATTTTGCTACCTCAGACCTTTGCTGTGCCAAGCGCAGCTGTGTACTCTTAATCTTGTTCCACGTTGAGCTGAAATAAGGAAACATCTTTTAATGTGTATACAGTGACAAGATGATATCTATATTTTTGGACTATAGGCATTAAACTGGAGACTTCATTCCCATATGCATATTTTTCATCTTGTTTTGCTTACAGTGGCAAATTCACTTCTCAGCATGATATTGAAGGATGCATGCATGGCTAATGCTCAACGCTAAATTACATTAATTGTTTTAACCCCTGACATATAAGCTCAAAATACCTGTCTCAGCAGTGCTGGCAAATGTACTATTGATCAACATGTTCACTAGTTAAATGATATCCTTCTGCAGCAGGAAAGATCGAGCAGAGAGATAGATGCACAACAGGAAAACAGATTTTTTTTTTACCTGGTCTATTCAACAACATACAGTAGACTTATATCCTCTCATTCCCACTCTGGTTTGTTGAGGTATCAAACTGACAAGATACATTGTCAGGTTTATGTCTTGACTAACTGAAGTCTCATCTTCACTCAGAAGTACTGTCATGCAAAAAGGAGCAGATTGAAGATCAGTCGTTGTTTAAAGGCAGGCTACGCTCAACGAGGAAATCCTGTGTCATGTCAGATATTGAAAGCCTCAGCAGCGCTTTTATTCGTCTTCCTGACAGCCCACAAAACATATTGAGAGGGTACTGTAAGTATGAAGCCCTTCTTGATGTCTGAAACACAGTAAATCATCACCCTACTTTAGAGCACAGGCCTCTTTTACCACATTTGTTTGGTTTAAAGGCATGCACAGTAAAGCTTTGGCTAAAGTACAATAACAAAGCTCATGTAACTTATGTTTTCAGTGACTTCAGATTTTGCTGTAACCTTGTATGCAACCACAACTAGAAAAAGCATTACCTCAAGCCAGAACATACACAAACAATATTGTATCCCAAAATAAATATACCACAGAAATACAATTATCCAAAGAAGGTAATCAGAAATATTCAGAATTAATTATCCTAATTTCACCTGCTGGATTGTAACCTATGGCAACTGTTTGTCACATCGACTTAAACAGTGATATCTTATTGTGTCTTAAAAGTTTTCATTTTTCATATTGACCTTTGGTAGAATACTGTGTATGGTCTGCACACAGTCTCCGTGGACATTACTACATTCTGGTTTATGAATGCATTGTTTGTGAGTGCACTCTGCGATCGGTAAAATGCTGTCCTCTTAAAAACTGCAGATAATTGTTGGACACATAAGCTCCATATTTTCCGAATATAAAGAGGATGACTGCCTAATATTGCATAATCTTTACTTTGTGACTCTTTTCACTCTGTGTTAGGCCATTTGCCTCGGACTGTTTTAATTTATGCCTGGGCTTTAATTTGCTATTAAACATTACGGAGGCCAAGTGGTGCGAGCAATAACATGAATAATCCATTGGCAGTTCCTGTTAGACCGAGAGAGGAAGAACCTCAATCACCATTATACTCAGGGGGAGTGAAACCAGGCAGGAGCAGCATTAGCCTTCCCCCCTAAAAACTGAATATGCGTCATATTGAATTGTAAACATACATCTTAATAAGGGCTGGGCTTGAGCTATTCAATAATATAGTTGAGCATTTCTCTGCAAATGCATAATGACCTCATGAGGAAATCAATCGAACTTGTGTTTGATCTGTATGGCTTTTTTGTATGCACATAACAAACCAACACATGCTCTCCCTAACCGTTTTAAGACACTGTTAAAAGCAAGTGAAGTAGTACTACAAGCGATTCTCTATTAAAAATAAGAATCAGAGCCAACTGTCCTTACCCATATGACTTTGCTATTGCTCATTAGCTTACAAAACAACACACAGTGATTGTTGCAAATCTTTATAAATGACTGCTGGTTTCTAACTGTCTTCACATTTAAAATCAAGCTTTAGATATCTTCAGAAGTGGTCATTCTTAAAGTACTGAAATTGTTTTTTCCCCACTCACTGCACACTTTGTAATCTCTCAGGAAGAAACAGGATATCTAACAGCTTCTTAGAAAAGAGACCATTTTAAATTCATCATGCACATCAATTGCCTATTCCAGTCACGTCTGTCAATCTGCCTGTGAAATGAAGAGCCAGAGGGTACTGACCCAGACAAATCAGCTCCTTTTCGACCATCTAACAACACTTTCTGAAGTCCTCACACTCACACATTCGTTTCTTATTTTTAGCTTGCCACTTCCTTTTATGATATGGCTCATGCTTTATCTCTGTGTTCATTGAGTGGGAAACAATGACATATTAAAGTGGTTATGATGGCTGGTGCAAAAGTCTTCATAAGAAAATGTAACCTAAAAGGAATCTCTGTCAAATCATTTAATTCAACCAGAATTACTTTACCTTATTTTTGAAACACTAAATATATGGACGTATTGCCCAAATTACTGTATATTTACTCTTAAAGCAACAAAATTACATTCCAAACCATATTTAAAGCTTTATCATAATTTAAAATGGTACAACTTTTGCCAATTTAACCAATGCTACCATATTTTTGACATATGCATCACAAACAACGTTGAAAATACTTTATAATAAAATATTTATTCCCCATTCATTTTATATACACTTGAATATCAATGCTGGCTTTTCGGTAATATGTTAAATTCACATATTATTTTGTGTTGATACAATCCTCAATTTTCTAATAGTGCAATTATTAGCTAGTCTGTGACCCGCTGGCTTGATTGAAAACAAACTGCTCGCTATGTCATTGTACCTGTCATAGTAAAACATGTTCACATAGGTAAAGTAAAACAAAGCGACTTAATGGCTAATACAATGTACAGTATAATAATTGTACAATCTTTCATACCAGAGTATCTTAAATGATAGCCTCATGTAAAGGTTTTAAACATCCAAAGTGCTTCCTGTCACAGATGTCCAACACTAATAAATACTGAATATAATCTGTATACATGTATTTCATGTATTTGTTTTGTTAAAAAAGAAAAAGGAAGACTCAGGTGTAACTAACAAGTACCTTCAAAAACGACAACAACCCTTATCCATGATATACTGCAGTGACAAAAGGCTGTATGTGCACTTATATTAAAACAACTCTGATAAAATACTCAAACTAAAAGTACCTGCTGCAATCTCCCCAAAGATATAACACAATTGTACAAAATGATTGTTGGTTCTTTCTCCAAAGTGTCAGTGCATTTTCCACCAAGGCAGGAAAGCATTTGTAATTGGACAGATATGTACCGTCATTGGCTTCATTTAAGAATAAAATAAATATAACCTGTACCACAGAATACCCTAACCCATTTCCAGTCTTGATGTGCAGTTTGTAAAAGCAATGCATGATGGTTCAGTGTTGACCTGAGTCTGTTTGTCATCCAGCTCAATGTCTCCACAGGAGTGTCTTACATCCAAGCCTCTACTTCCAGAGACACTGATGAGGATATCAATGATATTGGAGTGATGTCCTGTTCATCTTCTCTGCGTGACTTCTTGTTGAACAGACAGGATGCTCTGTTTTAACTTCTTTGTAAACAGGTGACTGGCTCTTCCACAGTACGAGTTTGTGGTGGTCCGAAGTGAGGCTTCCAGCGGCTGAAGCAGTGAGGTCTCCATGTTCTCACCAAATGGGTACTGGGACGAAGAGAAACATGAGCAGGTATTAGATGTCTAATTTCAGATCTTACTATACATGTTTTATTATTGCATTACAGATGTATACATCCACTGTTATGTGTCTTCAACGTCAGCTCTTTTCCTGCTCCTGACATCATAATAATAATAATAATCTTTATTTGTATAGCACCTTTCATACAACAAGTGCAGTCCAAAGTGCTTCACATAGACATTTCACAGAAAATGTATATCACACAGAATACAGATACCAGTAAAAGACATAAAATCAAACTTGCATAGAGTAGACATATATACAAAATACAATTAGATTAAAGGTAAAACAATGAAATTGTGCATTAAAAGGAGGATAGTGCAAATTCAACACACAATCAGGTGACAGGTTAAAATGCATCGCAATACATTGAGTAAGTGCAGCATAGAGCAGGAGTTTGCTTCCTAAAAGGCTAAAATATATTATAATTTTTTAAGACTTCCACCAAGCTGGCTTCCCTGATGCCTACAGGTATTTGGTTCCACAGCTTTGGGGAATAGTTAATGAAAGCTGCGTCACCAAACGTCTTTTTACCGCTGTTTTTTGGAACTTGTAAAAAATCAGCAGCAGAAGATCGCAGTGTTCTTGATGGTTTGTAGCTTACAAGGGAGTTCATAATGTAACTTGGACCTTGCCCATTAAGGACCTTATATTTTAGGAGGAATCAATCCTAAAAGAAACAGGAAGCCAGTGCAGAGCAGCTAGAACTGGAGTAATGTGTTCTCTCATGACACATGATTTAAGAAAGACTCAAAACATGCTTTAAAAAACAAACAGAAATACATTTGTTATGTTTACAACTGTTGCATGCTGTAACAGCCATGATGGGACAATAAGAACTGTGTTCAAATCACACAAATTAAGTGCCACATTTATCACTGTCACTTCAAGACAATGACATTCTGCATTTGTTTCATAACTGTCAATTCAGAGTGTGTTTGGATGATGAATATCTATCGCCACACGCTGTAAGAATGGGCTCAGTAAGGCGTAACATTGCTGGTGGTTACTACAGCTGCAGCATTCCAGATCTGCTTCATTGTTGGATGCTTTTTTGTCCCCAAGTGAACAGCAAAGATAAAACTTCCATCTCTTCAGCTAGTTAATATAAGCAGCTAAGGCTTTTGTCACATAGAGAATGTAAATAAGAATGCAGGGTTTCTTTTTGTATCGAGGTACACCCTTCTTTTACTGCTCTAGTAAATAAGAAAATCACTATTTTACAGCATCTCATTTGATTCCAGTTTGGCCAAGCATTAGGTAACTCCAAGCTTTCACACTTTCTTTATTATCTTTCATATACTGCAGCAGGCAATAAAGCACCATTAACAGCCTCCTATCGATTTTTATGTGGATGCTGCTGGTGCGTTGTCCACACAGCCATCATGATGTCTCAAACTAGCATCAGCACTAAAATGTTTACAACTCTTCTGTGGGCTTGGCTGCGTAATGGCTGTGCCCTTTATTGCGCGCTCCTCTGCTGGCTGGGCGAGCCGGCCGTGGGAGCGGGGCTGACTAAGGAGCTCTTGGTGAGATGGAAATGAGAGTTTCCTCCAGAATTGCCTGCTCCAGGCTTTAGGAAGCTGTCCTCAAAGGACTGAGTGGGAACAAAGTGGGAGGGGGCCTGAGGAGCTGGAACAACAGGAAGCACTGATAAAAGCTTCAAAATATAACAACAGAGGATGAAATGCTCTTCAGTTAGGCCTTCTTCTCTCATAATAATACAACAAAGCCCTGTATCTTACATTTATCTACTTAATACAGGAAGTGGATTATGATTACTTATGGCAAAACACAGCACTCCTCCGCCTCCTGAAATCAGGTGCAGTCTGGTTTGTGCCGTCTGGGATGCTGTATGCTTGTTTGTGCTGTCGGAGAGACTGATGGAGGCATGAGGGCCGAATGCCCCATAATGAAGCCCGCTCGTTTACTTAATGGCTGAGAACATTGCCCGCACTGATAGTGGCCCGGTTGGGCCTGTGGCGGTAATGGATGGAGACCGGCTAATGAAGCTTCCCCTACTCCCCACGATTACTGCCTGCATGTTGACCGGTGCGCTGAAATCAACTTGAGCAGATCGAAGGAGAGCCGCCCAGCAGTGAGAGAGCTCTTCAGCTGACTTGCGATAGCTTATTGATGATGAATGAGCTGTGGACTTTTAAGCTCCAGAAGCTGAAACTCAAAAGGATGAGTGTGGTGATTCTATGTTTTTCTAATTGTCAACAAATCAAATTAAAGAACCCATGAATTCCTCCTACTAACGAGAATTGTCTGTGGGTCCCAATTCTCATATAGCTTACCTCTGTGTGCCATAGCCCATCAATGAGCAACACAGTTTTGCTAGCTGACAAGTTTCTTCACTCCATGAATTTTAGTGTTTTAGCTGACAACATGTAAAGCAACCATTCCAGATGGCCAAAGCAGAGCAGCGGGGGGGCGGGGGGGAGGCAGATTTGTCTGGCTTGGGAGAGAAAAGAAAGGAGGACGGAAATGTTTAACAGGCTATTGATTAAGCATTGGTGGACGGAAGCATCTATGAGAGCAAAGCAATGGCCTGGAGTGCCTATCGATAATTTAATGACAAGAAAATGGTTTTCCAAATAGTCTGTTTGTTTCACAACTGCCCTCTAAAAAACAAAGAGGCACCAGAAAGAAAGTCTATAAAAATGATCGCTTCCCCTGGAACAAACAAAGCCTTGATTTCTAACATTACCTCACTTTACATTGTTATCCAATTAACAGTTGGAAGAAAACTCAAAGTCAGAATCTTTTGCAAAATGTGGGGATTGTTAACAAATAAGAAACCACAAGTTGTGTCATTTACTGTAGGGGCTCAGAGAGGGCGTCTCTACCTTTTGGATGGCCTCATAGATGGCTCGAAATGCAGGCTGCTTATCATTATGGTAAACTCCCCTGTTACCATGGAGAATGAAGACACCTTCTTGATCAGCCTGTTGACAGTTGCTGCCATAGATACAGTGGTCTGGACGGTAGTTCCACTGGCAGGGGAACACATAGAGGCTTTCTGTAAAAAGTAGGAGAACTTTATTTTGTTGATGAGGACTGTGAATAAACTGGGTTTATCCAATTAGAACCTATTACAAACCCTCACATATACTTGTATATTTCATTTTAAATATCCAAAACAACACACTTAAGTAAAGACTTGTTTGTTTCCTGAAACAACATAACTTTCATGATTAGAAATAATGTTTTATATGTAATTGCACAAACCTGGGTTATGGTGAAAGATGATGTTAAGAAGATCCTGGTCACCCCAAGTGATATTGAGTTTATACTTCTGGAGAAGGGGCATCAGAATTTCCTCCCACTTCAGTGGAACTGTTGTCATGTCATTCTAGAAGTAAAAATGCATGCTTATTGTGATGGTTTACAAAGGAACAACAAGAGTGACCTCTGCTGGTCAATCTTGGTTGTTCAGCTGAAGCTAAAGTCCCCTTTAGTATTCTATTTTTCAATGTCTACATTTCAAATATCCCCAGACCCTTCAATGATAACTGTATCTAAAAGTGTTGATTTAATATGACTGGATAAAAACAGCATATTACTCCAAATACTGGTACAATACATTGGCTGACAGTAGCCAAAAATCTACACCTACCTTAAAAGATTTCTCCCTGAGGCGAGTCATGTTCATGAGCATGACTCCTGAGTTGATGCCCGTCTTGCCATAGTAAGGATGTCGGGCAAAACGGTTGTACCAGCCGATGCGTGGCTCCTCGTGCTCCGGAGCCATGGCAGCTAAGTGACTGGAATCAAACTGAGAAAGAAGAGCCCAGATATCCTCTACTGGCTGCAAAAAAATGATATCCGTGTCCACATAGAGCAAAGAATCCACCTCCTTCAGGATCAGCTGGAAAACAGACCACAAAAACATTTGTGAAAACATTTAACAAATGGGTAATAGTTATAAGCATGAAGGATTAGCTTAGATGTACAGGCAGGAAGAGTCTCTGAGAGGCACAAGGTTTGAAGAGCTTCTTCCACTCCTTTGCATTCTTCTCAGGAAAAGTGATAGGGTAGATGGTGAAGTTAAACTTAGTCTGAGCTGTCCTGGGCCAGGAGTCCAGCTTTAAGAAAAGATATGCACAAAGAAAGATTGTAATCCACAAATATTCCCATTTAAAACATGTACTTAACTAGTTATCTTGATAAAAAGGGTTTTGCTTTTATGCCAAAAAGTAATGGTTGCAATAATGCTTTAGTGCGCTTCTCTTTACACCAGAAGACAAAGGCTTAAGACATTGTTGAGACAGATTTAGATATATCTGGGCTATTGCTATTACTTTGTAAAACCTGAAAATGAATACAAAAGTACATGAAAGTTCTGGTGTTGTTTTTGGAAAAGATACTCACAGCATTTTTGAAGGGCTCATGTAGATCATCCTCAGCAAAGATGTAAAAGTGCAGAGGCTTTTTGCTTAAGAGAACAGCAGACTTCAACATGGTGAGGGTCTCCTCTAACCTGGTGCCACAGGCCACCACAGCCACGTGACTTCTCTCATCACCATGATGCTTTCCTGGAGAGCTGGACCTCTCTCTAAGAACCAAGACACAAAAAAAACAGTCATCATCAACCCCAACGTGTACATACAACAGCATGGCTACACTGACAGGTGCAGGAGAGAGAACAACTAATGTAGATATCACCAGGCTCAGCTGACTGTTGTTCAGCCCTGTAGGATTGGAAATGTCATTTTGTTTAATGAAGGGCTTCACATGAGGACTATCGCCAGTGCTTTTAGTTGCCATCAAGCACTCCTTATAAACGACTAATTACTAAGTACTACTACTAGCACACATTTCAAAGAACACTTTGCCAATATTCAATCATATCTCTGTCAATATGTCATAAAATGGCAAGGCCACATACACAACTATGATGGACAATTGTAGTCAGGGACTCGGTTGTCAGCATGTTGGATCTCTCAACTCCTTGTATTTATGACTTCAAGCTCATTACTAGTTTCAAGGGTACATTTTGATTGCAGCAATAGGCCCAGTGTTTACTCTGAAATGTGTACCTAGGAAGGAGGGGAAAGTTGTTAGTTAAAGTCTACGAATTATAAAGAATCTAATGGAAGCTTTTTAAAGAGGTGCTCAAAACCAGTCATACCTAAGAGATGATTCCAATAAGCAGTTCACTCCACACACATCAGCAGGCAGTCTCCAATATGGATTCCAGTAAGAAACTGACAATGATTTACACCTGACAGAATGAAAACATGATATTTTGTTTCCTTAACGATACATTAATCAAACATACTTTGGGATTAGATCATAGACTGTATAAAATAGGATTAGATCTACCTCCTACGGTTAATTGTTTAACAGGTGGCCGTTCTATAAATCCAGCAAAAAGCTAATGAGGGATACAAACAATCAATTAGCTAGCAATTGCAAGTAATGTTAGAGGATAATCACTTATCTAACTAGCTAACTGGTGGTAGATTTCAGATACAAGACCGACATTTTTAAAACATACCGCTGCTATAGACCGTAGTTATAAAATAGCATGATGAGTACGCGTACTATATTTTCAATGTATCCAGCTAAGGCTAAATTGCTAACCAGTTTTTACGACTTAACGTCAGATTTAGAAGTCGTTTCAACATTGTGATTGTAACCATATTATTTCGGTTATAGTCACGCTAACTTTATTCCAAGTGCAAATGTAGCTAAAGCTAACCAATAGCTCTATTATGCGCTCACTAATGCACTTAATTAATGCTAAGTGATTAGCTAGCTAAGCTACCTGTCATGCCCTTCTTCATGGTCTCGGCCTGCTAGTCCTGGCCTTTTCCTGAGAAGGTGGCCGTCGTCATGACTGCGCCCGCCGGGTATCCCCTGCTCTTTTAGGCCCCAGCCATCTCTGTCCTCCAAGGTGGAGGCTAGCTGGTTGAACACATACACCAGTGAAAAGAAAATGAAGACCATGCACAGGAGAAATGCTTGAAGATAGCATCGCATTTTGCGTTTCAATTTGCATGCTCTAACGGAACATTTTTGTGGATTTTTAGCTACAATCTGAGGTGCAACCAGCTAACTAATCAATCATAAATCAAGTCAGAAGCTAAACCGAAGAGCACGGTCGGTGTTTACAGTTTTCCGCCCCACCCACATATGGTACACGTGTTTGGCGTTTGATCAATCATCTGTCAGTTATGTTAGTGTGCGAACAGCAGGTGTACAGTAGACAGCCAGGTAACTAGGAATTAGTACATCCATGCTTAGAGCTCGGTGCATATACAATGTTAATTATAATCCTGTCAAACGTTCTGTTAGGTGACCATTTTCATGTCAAGGAAATAGGGTTGGATTATATTAGCGAGCTTGACATGCACGTTTTAATTCGACTGACAGTTTTGACTATTGCTGAACAGTCTATGGATGAAAGAACAGTTGTATCATTAAGTCTTCAAAAGTAAAAGTATCATTGGAGTACTGAACTACTGATTTGTTAACATCAGTTGAATGTTGGAGCAGTTAGGTTGTTTAACCTATAACAATGCATGTTTTATTAGTGATCACATATTTTGTCACAAGGAAAATAATATGGAAAATGCCTGGCTGTCAAATAAATGTTCACATTTAACCTGAAAGCCTAATGTAAAGTATAGAGTATCTGGTATAAATACTCAAATACCTTAGGGTTTTATTTATATGCATTCTGTGAAAAATAAAACGAGTTGCTTTTCATAATTTCTGTCAAGGGCCTTCCTCTCAAGACACAGTTTGAAGAACATGATGAAAGATAATTATAACACACATACAGTATGGTGAAGTGTGTGCAACTCATTAATTGACTGCCTGCACAAGTTAAATACCAAGTCCATTGATTTTTCATTTCTCGCCTTTATGGAACATATCGGTAAATCTTTGAAAAAACAAATTCAATACTTCCATCCATTAATTGTGGAGACACTAAAGCAAATTATTGAGGTCAATAGTTCAGTTTCAGTAAAGCAACATTTAAAGAAATCCAAATGTTTTACAAATGATTTAAAAAAAACAATTGTAGCAGGGAGAATATCTTGAAATAAAAACATACAAGTATCTAGAACTTATTTTATTTAACAGTATTTTACAATATAAACCATTCTATAGATTACATCATGCTTAACTCTACCAAGTGAACGAGAAGCATACTTATTCAATATTTGAACTCAAATATTAGACAGTAAAAAAAGTATTGCATCCAATGGCATACACTGGAGTGGATCAGGCCAGTAACCAACAGTGTAATGATTTACTGAAAATTAAACAGAGGAATTAATGCTAACAAATGTTATCATGAACATTGGATGCCATTAAGTGCAAATTACGATAACAAAATTAAAAAATAAACTACAATTCTGAGATGACATTTTATATTTTCTTTCACAATGCATCATTTATTCTGTGCAGCAACTACCAGCTCAGTGTGATGCTGAAGTAACACTGAGGTGTTTAAACTTGAATAACCATAACACGTGGCACAGTTCAAATGACATCCAGGATTTAATGCTACCGTTCCTTTTTTCCGTTCATCATGCTGCAACAGTTCTTTGAGTTGAGCATACAGCACACGTCCCATCTCCTGAATTCTTTACCATCGTGGGATGGCAGTGAAAAATACAGCCTCAGAAGTGAATGCTATCATATTTGCATTTAAAGTATTTAACGAAAAAGCGTGCATGTTGAATTGTAATCTCTGCTCGAGGCTGTTGAGAGTGCAGAAGAATGGGGTGTGCTGAAGGGGTGTGTGAAGGTTAGTGAGTCTCTCCGTTAACCGGTGAGGCTTCCCTGTGGGGCGAAGAGCATCGGGACACCCCCCGTTCAGTGTTATCAGAGCTGGAGCCACTTTGACTGTGTTGGTCTGCTAAGGCAGCACCTGTTGAAGTCGGCGTGGGTTTGGCTTTCTCCTTAAAGTCTGTGATTATTACAGTCAAGTCTCCAACTGTGACTTCTAGATGCTGGGCGCTGCTCCTGTCGATGTTTTTTAACCGGGGCCTGGTGTGGAAAAAGGTACAACATTTTTTTTTTAAACGTTTTTGGAGGATTCCAAATATCTCAGTTGCAAAGACCACAGATTAAGATGAGCTATTTCCTTTAAAAACAAATTACCTCGTTTTTTTATGGCTTTTCTTTTTCAGTGTTGGGTCTTTATCACTCTTGTCTTTCTCTGATTTTTCTTTTTTCTCCTTTTTGGGGAGTGTGGGTGATGCAAACTGCTGATTTGCTTGCTGTGTGACCAGCTGAGAAACAGGCCGTGGTTTTCTGAAAGAGACAAAAAAAAGAATATTGGCATTGTGGTTACATTCATATATATTTTAACTTAAAAAATATATAGTGTACTGTAAATGGTTTTTAAAAAAGTCTGAACAGTAATCAGGTACCCATATATACACTTTCAAACATATTTTGCTTGCTGTTATCATTCTTTCTAGTCAAAAGTGAAAAGATTCCTTGCTAATGCTATTTGGATGTAATTGATGGGGGACAACATTCATAGCACTCTTTCTGGGTTAAAATGCATACACAATTTCATATGAAGTTAATATGTGGATTCAGCTACCTTACCATTTACATCTACATTTGTCAAATCAAGTGTGTATCTTTCTAATTAAAAGTAGAAAACACCTGCTTTCCGTTACTTCTAACAGTGTTTGGAGAAACAGAGCTGCAGCTGAGGTAATTGTAATATTAAGAGGGATTTTCACACTAAAAAGGACAATAACCTTGAAGATACCCCCTTGATTTGATTAACTCATACTGCTGAAAGAATATTACCTTGGAATACATTTCGGCACAGAACTAGGACTGTGGATATTGCCCCCCATGTATTTAAGTAGAAGAGCAAAGGACGGAATCTCTTCACGGTCAGTATGAGCAATATAAATAATAACAGCAAAATGGCACCTTACAACTGTTTTAAGAACATTATGAAAATGTAAGTGTTAAAAGGCATGCGATACATTTCCTCTGCATTTTACCATCTTTACAATTGTGTGTTCCTGCGAGTGTGACCATAGGCTTTACATTTTATGTGTGATGTACGGATATGTAAATGTTTCAATATGCTGCCTGTTCATTGGATCGTCTAGCTTAAACTAATGTAGTGACTCAACATGCCTAAAATAAACCATACTTTTATGAATGTTTATAAGTTTGGTTGTGTTTTTAAAGAGGTGTTGATTGAGTCATTTTGGAGGCTGGGGATTGTGATGCTGTTGATTGCAATGTGTTACACTGAAAGGTATTTTAAAGTAGTCTACCCTACCCCGAATGACATAAATGGTGTGGACAAGATAATAATAACATCTCAGGATAATGCAATACAATTTAACAGCACACAAATCATGGTAAAATACTGAGGTCCTGAGTACAATTCTTTGCAACAACCGTCAATTTTGACAATACGTCCAAAATCCAAAATCTATATTTTCTGCATTTTCACCCACACAAAGTTCTACATTTTAAAGTTTAAATAGATGTCTTCCCACTAAAAGGAATATAACTATATTGTGGAAACTCTGCATTCTTTGTTTATTTTGGTTTTCATTAAGAAGTTGTAAAAATTGCTAAAATATCCCCCACAAAATGCTAAGAACATACGGCCATAACCCAAAACTACATAATATTGTTTCCATAAAGTTCAATCAACCTCTATCTATCTCCCTTTTCAACAAACACTGAACATTAAACCCTTTATACAGATAGGATTTATGCATAATTGTTAGATAGCTGATACTGAGTGTATTTTTTTTTTGTTTAAATCATGCATTAAAGTAGTTTTGCATTGCTCGGATTGTTGCAAAAATACACAGCCAGACTGCCAGTAAGAGTTATTCTTACCGAGTGGACGTCCCCTTCCGCACATCACAAATCATGCACTTGAACGCCTCAGCGGTGTTCTTGAACGTGCAGACGCTACAGTCCCAGTAACCGTCGTCTGCGGAGGGCTTAGGTTGCCGCTTTGGCCTTCAAACAAAAACAAAACAAAAACACTGTGATAACGTCACATTTTCAAAGAAAGACAAAGATTACCGAAACAGGAAATACACGACTCTAAAGTTATTTTCTGCTCACAAGTCAGTCACAGAGAAAAGGGGAGCTTTCAGTTCACACAGGCAGTTTTCCCCATACTAAACCAGAAGCCAGCCGCCATGAGCACTTCAGTAAAGCAGCTCCATCCATTGACCGAGCTTTCTGCCATCAAACGGCCCGATAAAGTCTTCATTTAAAGACACTAGCAGCAGTTTTACCTTGTGGGGCTCTTCTTGTCTCCCATCTTACGTAACTTCGACTCACTGGAGTTAAAAAACGTCAATGTTACAGGTGAAAAAACGCATTTAGCTGCTACTCAGATGTCGTAGAAACTCCTGTCGAGGACAGTCACGTGACGCCGGTTCACCCAATCACAGTTAATGTAATCACAACAGACGCTGTAATAAATGTGACACAACATTGATGAAGGGCGCTTTGTCAATGTGTTCATGGTAAAATGAGAGCGTGCCGACGTAGACATGTTCCATTGAGGAATGGGGAAGTCAAATGTAAAATAATACTATGTATTACTTTTATCTTCAATAAAATGGCATATTAACAGAGATCTGTTGACTTTTTATGTTTGAGGAGTTGACTTAATATGTTTTTTATTTTTAAAATCAAGTCCTACATTTTGTTCTAATACATTTTTATGCGTGTTTATCTACACCAAACTACAAAGTAAACACAATGTAAGAACATGGTGAAAACGTAATACATAATAATTGTGCTTGCATGAAGGGTATTAGATTATATTTACTTTAAACCCTTTATACTCTACATTTTGAAGGAAAATGTTGTACTTTTGATTTGACTTTATTCACTTAGCAGCCATAGTTAGACACATTACCACCGGTCGCCACCAGAGGGCAGCAGCGCACTGTTTTCCGGAAGTGGTCATTCAGCAAAGAAGAGCGTCCATGCTAGGGGTTTGTTTTGGTTCTCCTTTGCAGATCCACGAAGAAAACTATTCGATTGTCGAGTAACTTTTTAAGATTAATTGTTTTTTTAGCAATAGGATAAATATGTAAAACGCACTTGGTGACCAGGAGTATTACGATCATTAACAGGTGGGTGATCTTTTAGCGACTTCCTCTTGTGCTGTGATGCTATCAGCTACATGTGTACTCGAACAGTGCTACTTTAATTCTGTGGAGCTTCGTGATACAGGAAATACATTTCAGTTAAACCATCTCAATCACTCTATTATGCGGTGTCTAATGATGTCCACTTCCCCTATCGGACTGTTTCGATGTATGGATCACGCATATGTTATGTTTACTTTAAAAGATAGAGTGTGTAGTGGTGAATTGTTGTAACATTGTCCCCAGCAGATGCCATAGTATACATAGAGGTGTGTGTGTGTGTGTGTGTGTGTGTGTGTGTGTGTGTGTGTGTGTGTGTGTGTGTGTGTGTGTGTGTGTGTGTGTGTGTGTGTGTGTGTGTGTGTGTGTGTGTGTGTGTGTGTGTGTGTGTGTGTGTGTGTGTGTGTGTGTGTGTGTGTGTGTGTGTGTGTGTGTGTGTGTGTGTGTGTGTGTGTGTGTGTGTGTGTGTGTGTGTGTGTGTGTGTGTGTGTTCTTTCCTGTTTGGGTATATGTTCAAAACAAATACACCAGCTTAACAACACTCTACCCTTTCCATCCAAGGTCCATCATTCTCTACTGTGACATATTGTGAATACCAGACAGCAAACCAAATCAGTAAGTACAAAAGCAAAACAGCGCTTTGCATGTCTTACAAGCATAGCAAGATTCAAGGCTTTTATTTTCATTTGTACATAGCTACAGTGTAGATATGTCAATGAAAATGTTAGGTCACAGGCTCCTCCAACAGTGCAACACAATAAACAGATAACATAGTGCTGGTAAATGCAAACAAAATAGAATATCAATGTAATAAATTATCTTTTAGAGAGACTGCCACCTAAAACCGGGCTGTACCACTTTTCTCAACATGTGGAAATGTCAAGTGTACATACCTGAGCAAGTTAATATTTGCCTATATACCAGTGTTAGGCTTTTCACTTTGGGTTACTTTCCAGTGTCTTAAGATGACAAAGTTTGGGACGATCAATTCATTATCATCTATGTCTGCAGACCCCTGCTTCTTCACCTTTTTTTCTTCTGGTTTGATGTAGGATAATTTCCCCAGTAATTACAGCCACTAATAAGTCAGAATCTCAGGAAACCTGTTTACAATATGGACTTTTAGTTTGGAAACCATTTAGTGAAATGAACATGAGATGAGCATCAGAAAACTTGACCACTCTGTGTCTTATGCAGACTCAAGCTGATGATATGAGTCCTCACCTTGGTTAAAAAATACTTCCTGACAATACATTCTAAATATGAATAACTATCTATGCCAAGCCTAAGAAAACAGGATTTTGTGATGATGAAGCCTAATCTTTCACTGCATATTCATTAAATAACATAATAACATTTACTTGATGGCTGAAGTTTGAACTAATGATCTGACCGATGGACAAACACATGCCTTTTTTTTCTTTGCAGTGGCATATCGCAATGGCCGAAATACACTTAGAGAGAAATATGAAGAGTGCATTTTAGCGGATTCGAGAGAGGTAAGGGGAGATGTTGTTTTCTGTATCCAAATGTATTAATTGAACTAATAAGTGCAGAGAACTGATTAGTTTACTGTATTTAAATCGCAATCATGTGTTTAGCTTGTTATGACCATGACATTTATTTATGGTAGTATTCAGTATTAATTTACCTTTCTTCTTTTGTTGGTCCCTCTATATTTGGGGGATATTGTTGTTGCATCCAAATCTTTAAATTTCGCACAATGCAACATTAATTGTCATCTTAGGAATAGGTTCATTTCTGGTTTGAAACATAGGTAATTGCAAGCATGTTTAAAGAGCGGATATATTTGATGTAATATAAACTATTGTTTTATTTCAGGTGACAGTCCATCGAGTTGTCAATATTGTGGAAAAGGGGAACTCCATGCCTCGGACAAATGTGAACTATGGTTCTAAAAGTTCGAATTTTTCAATGTGGAATGATGGTCCTCGGAATTACCAGGACAGTTACCCAGCGAATGATCGTCGATATTTTGATGATAATTCAAACAACAACAATTTTCGCAGAAATTCCTCACCTCCAAGAAATGTAAGTAAAAGTTGGTATGCATAGTTTAAAGAATTACATCAGTTTTTTGTTTCAGGTTTTAACAAAGTTATTTTGACATTCAATATTACTCACAAAAACCAAATGTCCTTTTTCTTTTACACGTCTTATAACCTTTTTAAAGTGGATTTAAAAAATATATTTTAAGTGTTTTTAACATCCATGTAAATGAGCACACATCTTTTTCACTGCTTTGATGGCGCATTGTAGCATATATTTGGGCATTAGTGCCTAATAATGTATTTATGCTTATTGCTGATCAGTGTAATCGTCAGTTACCACTTAACATGCATGTTTACTAAGTAACTTGCATGCTAACATGGATATAAATCCTCCTTCACATTTTCAAGATAAACACAATAGTGACCTGCTTCCACAAATGCTTTCATAGGGACCCTTTAAGTGTGTTTTAAATGTGATATTTGTTTTTTAGGAGGACCATTATTCCCAGCAGCCCTATGACAGAGATGATTTAAGGCACCAGTTAGCCTCAAGGTAAATAACATCTTACAATTATTTTTAATATTTTATTTTTTGTTTGTCACATGCTGTTTAGTCAGATGGTCAATTTCTTCATTTAATTATTAATGTAATGCATCAAACTGTCCACAAGGTGGAAGCATGGTTCCATCTTTTGAAGGGTGAGTATATTTGCTTGATACACAACAAGGTGTGTGACTTGCATGTTATATTAGGAAAAAACTGGGTCAACCAAGCTTATGAAAGTACATTTCACTTTAAATCATTTTTTAAAATTATTACTTTAACATTTAACCCAATACTTAAGAATATCACATGTATTATAACAAAATATTGCTTTGGCAAATACCTTGGCATAAAATTATAGCTTTTGGAAATATATGAAGGAAACACTTTGAATTATCTGTGACCACACTGCTGTTGAGATAAGTTGAAGAGCTTTCACAGAGTATCCAAGCCAAGCAGTTCCATCAACAGACACTCTTCTCGCCTCGGCCACTTTAACATACCAACACTTTACGAAGCTCCCCTCTCCGGGAGTCACACCAGGCTAGAGAGGGGACAAAGAGCACTAGTGTCTACTCCACCAAACAACCCCAACCCCACCCGAGAGGAAAAACAGCTGGACCACTCCCTCTTCAGTCAAACACACACACACACACATCTCAGATATTCTGAGCATCGTACGTCTCATTTAAATTAGATATGTTCAAGTTCCAATTTACCATAAAATCTATTTGTATTTTGATGACTGTTTTACTGTACGTATGGGTACCTGACTATTGTTTTAAGACAGACTCGACACACTGGCACAAACCTTATCCCCCCTTTAATGGCACACATGTAATAATGCTCCATCATTTCAAAAAAACTGTATAACAGCAGTGTTTTAGTTTCGCAAAAGATTATGCTATAGCTTCTCCTGCAGCTGCGTCAGAAAACATAATATTTCTCAGACAGCAAGACAGGGAGTCTGTCTGTAGGAGCCTTATTTATTTATTTATTTATTTATTTATCCAAAGCAAGGGTCACTGTCATGGGGATTGGTGGTGTCGTTTTTGTGGCCACCTTCGTAGACTCTGTAGCTACAAGTAGCCCCTTACCGTGCCACTATACAACAAGGGGTGTGGAATAAAGACAAGAAGTACAAGAGCATAATAAAGTTTTTGCAAATACCAAATTAATCATTGCCTTCTTTTTTCTGTCCTTTTTAATTCCAGTTTATTTATATATTTTTTAAATTAAAACTAGCCAACTGGTTTTCTTTGTGTATATTATAAGGAAACAATGCCATATTATTATTAGTTTGTTTTATCTCGTTGTAGCCTCGCTGGATGCCCTACCAAGTTATTGCTTATTTCGGGTCATTCCTTAGTGTATTGGCTGCCATCTCGGCTTCAATATACGTGTAATATCCGGGTGAAGAACGTCTGATAAATGCTTGATTTACTCTCTAGAGAACTGTTGTTTTTTTCAAAATTAAGTACATCACTTTTTTTCTCTCTATCTGTAACCTTTTGATGTTAGTTTTGACCTGCATAGATGGCAAGTCAGTGTTTGAAGTAGCCAGGACTCAGCCTGCCATTTGCCAAACAGACCACGAGTCGTAAAAGTTTGAAGCCTTGTTAGACCTGCTCTTTGTTTAAGATGTGGCTTGAGTTCAGGCAGAGGTCATGAAAACCAGGTGCCTTTGGGTCATTTATACCTCTGGACTTTAAGGTCGTGCTCGGGCACAAGCTACAAGCCTGGAAATAAGGAAAACAAGTCGAAATTAGCGACGATTCTTTTCAGTAGATGTGCTAGGGTTATCACACATCATAGTTAGATGACAGTGAATTGTGATCTCAGTTCCATATTCAGCCTTAATAATGACTCGGCCTCCAATTGAAGACACATAGGAATGAAAGAAAACCAAAATGGTCCAAAAGTGTGCCAACTCTTGCGAGTGCCAAAGAGGAAGATTGCCACAATTTCACAAATTAATCAGTATCCCACTGGGACTGAATTGAAGTCTTTGCGGTTTTGTTTTTTATTTACTCTGTTTCCATTACCCATCTGAAGGCCTTCACTGAAGGAAACTATTTCTTTAAAATACAGTAATTATGTAGGTTGTTCATTTTAAATGAACTAATATACCCTTTGATTAATCAAACAAATGTTTCCATGTGCAGAGCAGCTTTGCCTGTTCTTAATTTGTCTGTAGTTTTTAATTCTGTGTGTTTTTGAATGTGTTTCAGGAGCAATAGAAGAGGCGCTCCCTATTTCCGCGGCAGAGGTCGAGGGTCAGGCCCTCCTTTAAGGTCAGTGCCCGAAAGAAAGGTCACTGCCCTCACATCCATATGGTCTAGTATACCTTTAAACAAACGTCCAACTCTGTTAACAGGACTTAAAATAAGGGGTCTGGTTTTTGATTTAAGAAGTCGGCTTCCTATCAAAATGACAAAACAATATATTATAAGGTGGTGAAGAGCATTTACAGACATTAATTATCCAAAGCACTCAGAACTCCTGAAATTCTCATTTGTTGTTTTTTGTCAGTAGAGAAGACCGTGACGAGTACAGACGCACTCCTCTACCTAAAGGAATGAAACGGGAACGCTCTCCTGGACGAAGGGAAGCACACCCACCTGTACCTGTCCGCTCGCTATCTAACACCAGCAGCAGGAGCTTCTCCCCCGACAGGGAGAGGAATTTAACCTACCAGCAGTCTCTGCAAAAGCGTAAGTATTTAGACTTCTGTGGATCTCAGCACTCAAGTTCACAGCTTAGAAAAGACCTCAGGTGCAATCAGCTGATCAGCTGGAAGGTAATGCTACCAGACAAAGAGAAAGAATTAGAGTATTATTGTTTAGTCTTAACAAGTCTTCTTACAAAACTTACTTGTGTATTTATTTATAATGATATTAATTAAAACCTGAAGAAGCACAGATCATAAAACACAGTGGAATTATGAATTGACCCTTATCTAGTACAATGTTTGTCGTCACAGCTGTTATTCCCTCTGTACTGAGAACAAAAGAGGTGATTTTCCCTTTCACAGAGGCATACATATAATTATAATGTCTAAAGGTATTAAGCCATTCCAGGTGAAGCATCTGTTTTCCGAGGTGCTGTGTAATGTGAAGGGTCAGAGTGTGCTGAAACACGTTAAGATGTTAATTACACTAACACCACACGCACACTTACACAGGCTGGGAAAAAGGATACCCTCGGTTTATTGGATTGACTTAGGATTCAGAACCTGACCTTTTTAGTCTGTTCATGCGCCGCTTTAACGACCTCTTCAAAATCACATTGGCTCTGTCATTTCACATGCTTTCTTTTGTGACTCTGACAGGCTTTAGAACTTTAATAAGCAATGCTGAGCTAATGAAATTTATGGATACACATGTTACAAAAACGTGTTAAAAGTGATCTGACATCAGCAATATTATTAGTCTGAGGCAAAGCAGTGTGGGCAGCCTTTCCTCCAGTGCTTTGATTTCCAAGACACATAAAGATATTAAAACGGTGAAAATGTAGCTGCATGTCGTACGGCCTTTTGAAGATGTAATAAAAACAGTGAGAGCACAGTTGTACCTCCCAACTCCACTCCCATCTGGGATAGTAATTAGGCCAGCACAGCAATGTAAAAAAAGAAAGGGCTTCAATGATGGCGTATGTATATTAAGCTTTGTCATGCAAACAGAAGCTTTGTGGGCCTTGGTGGTCTCAGCCCTATCACAAACATTGACATAAATGTCACCTTATCGACTAAATATAATCAGACCTCCAGATTCGGGTCACACCTTTCCTGAAGTTGCCCAGGCAGTGTGTTTAAAGGCACTGAAGTCACTAAAAGAAACAAGTTAACATAGGTAATCAAATAATTTACATCTATTGTAATAAATTGGTTATTGTTCATGCAGCACATCAATAATCAGATGTCTTTACTACCCCAATTTTAACTAGGAACATGCAGACGTATCATTTTGAACAGCCAATTAGATAAGTGTTTACCCGTATACATTGCAGATAAATCTCGCTGGGGAGATCAGGTTTCTCTAATCTCCTACCCCGCTTATGGAAACCAGTTTTCTGTTCAGATTAGTGGAACGCACTGAGGGTGTGAGATGCGAGGCATGAGCTCCCAGCGTACCTTCCCTGTGTTGAAGTTTTCTCCAGAGAATGAGAGAGTCGCATATAAGCTACTACATGTCGTAAAAAGAAAATTGGTCAGTATGCTCCAAAAGAAACCCTTGTTGGAATGTCAAACAGCATGTAGAAACCCCCCCCACGTCTTTTAGACATCATAATTAGGGTGGCTGCGTCGAACAATTTTTGTAACCTTACAAAACCCACAATCTGAGAAACACGCCTCGGTTGTACAGCGATTGGCCGTATGCCAGATTTTGAAACTACTTTGCACTCTCTTGTCTAAATATGTGCACCGTGGTCCCCATTCAAACACTTATTGCATAAAGCCCCTGTGTATCATACACAGGAGTATATTATATATATTTAAGCGTCCTTGGGTCTCTTGAAAGGCGCTATAAAAATTGAAATTATTATTATTATTATCATGGCAGGCCTTTTGCCTCTTTATGTGTGGCCATTGGGAACAGCTACACTTCAGCCTTCTTAGTCATATGAACTAGTTTGTTTTAGGCACACCTCAGCATAACACTGTTGTATTTCTGATGGTACACACTACAGTATCTGAGTATTCAGCCTTACTAGAGTCTTTGTGGGGTCCGGGAGAAAGAGCCACATGGGGACTACTTAGCCCTGCTGAGGGACTCAAATTAAGATAGAGGCTTTACCTTGGCTCACTCTAATCACTGTGGGAGATTCCTTCGGTAAAAACAAACAACTTGGTCAAATTAGATTTTTTTTTCTAGACACATTGGAGCCAGCAGAAGACAATATTTCAATCTAGACACAGATGAATTTCTCGAGCACTATTGTGTGGGAGGATTCGACAAGGGAGTATTAAAAAAAACAGGGATTTAAAGTTTTCAGCTGCCTCATAAGGCCTTGGCTTTATGATTGTTCACGATGAAAAGTGAGTGATTGTGTGATGTTTCACAGTAGACAGTGAGTGTTCCTCTGAGTGTATATATAACATAAAAGGTTATTGCATTTGCAGTTATTAGACAGCAGAGTGGAGAGAGCTGATGAACCACTGGACCCTATTTGAACTGGGAAGGATGCAGTAAACGTGGCTTGCTTCCCAGACCAATGACCCTTTAAAACGCTCCCCCAGAGTTGATTTTAATACAGAGAAAAATCAGATAAATAATGCTGTGCTGCCCTTGTGTATTAGATTCATTTCAACCTCTTGTTATTGTTGTCACACTTTAGTCAGACGTTTTTATTTTCCACAATTGTCTGAGGAAGGTTACCTGTGTTTTTCTCCATTTTCATCTGACATTTCACTTCTCCATAGATAAGACCAGTGCGAGCCACACTCCCAGCCCCTCTTTTGAGGGGTCTCCTCACAGCTCTGGATCTGCAAAGGTAAAGCCTTCTAGAGCAGTATAATCTTTACAAAAAACCTGTTCCAGTGAGTATAAATAAATAAATTGAAAATGGTAGCTTCTACATGTTTTTGTACAGCTGCATCTAAAGTAAAAGCTTGAAAAGTCTCAGTTAATGCGAGGTGTATATACAAAGCAATAACAATGTAATCATTTTTATATTTCCGAAGCATTGAATACCCAGGAAGACAAATGCAGTTTGTGTCATAATCCTTCAGTCCTCCCCTTTCTTGTTTTTGACATAAACATTTGGAAAGATGATATTATTTAACATATCACATAGAATAGGATAATTATCAATACTATAAATGCATGTCTTAAGTAAAAAAGGATATGCATTCATCACACAGGTTTGTAATATTACATCAATCAAGATTCAAAGGTTTTATTGTCATATGCACAAAGGTACAGTGTAGAAATGGCAATGAAATTCTTCTGACCTGAGCTCCTCCAACAATGCAACATATATAATAAAATACAAAATAAAAAGTAGTGCAAAAAGTCTATATATATCTTTCTTTTATTTCATGAATATTGCTTATTATAAAGCACTTTTCGGAAGCAAACTCAGGTCTTATTGTCCTGTGCATCAGTGACAGTATAACTTTTAATTATAACAGTATACAGTTTAGTAAAGTATATAAATGTATAGTACTTGTGTATTGGCCTAAAAGTAGACAAAAGCACAAGTATAGCACTGTAAAGACTAAAATAACTTATATAATATATTCTTTGTTAGAAAGCAGAACTGACTCATGTATTTGTGTCAGTTGGCCTTTGACTGTAATGATCCTTTAGTCAGAGAGAGGGACTGTAAATGGCTGCTCTTTTCTGTTGACATTAGGCATGCTTAATGAGACATGTACCAAAACAAGAGCTCAACACTTGTAAGAGAGCAGAGTTGTCTCCATTTGAAACACTTTGAAATCAGAACCAGCTTCTAAACCTGGTGACCCCGGTTCTAACCTTTCACCTTTGGCCCTCCAGGAAAAAGCTCCTGCATCTGTAGCGGAGACGGAGGAGTTGGTGGAGGCCAGCATGGAGGCCAGCATGGAGGCCAGCTTTGAGGCCAGCGTGGAGGCCAGCGTGGAGGCCAGCGTGGAGCCAAGCGTGGAGCAAAGCGTGGAGCCAAGCGTGGAGCCAAGCGTGGAGCCAAGCGTGGAGCCAAGCGTGGAGCCAAGCGTGGAGCCAAGCGTGGAGCAAAACGTGGAGCCAAGCGTGGAGCAAAGCGTGGAGCCAAGCGTGGAGCCACAGCCGACACCAGACCAAGACTTCAAGGCTCGCCGGTCGGAGGCCATTAAGGCTAAGGCTCTGGAAATTGAGAAGGTAGTACGATTTTCTCCATGAAACGACCCAACTTCTGTTAATACTCTTAACTCTCAACAATATAACTGTCTCAACTTTCTTTGTTGTATCCAAGCCTTTCCAAATGTATACCAGCTTCCAATATAATGCAAAATGCTAGTTCTTAACCAGACATCATATAACGGAGTTAAAAAAACCTCAGTTTCTGAAAGTGGAAGCTAGAGAAACTACCAGATTGCTTTAATGATTTCCATTAAAACCTTAAAGCTTCAATTGACCGTATTCCGTAGTAAACTAGTTGTATCATCTCTTGTTTTGGATTAGTGTCTCATTTTAAGAATGAGCGAAATAGCAACTCATAGTCAGATAACAGGGTAAAGGTCACAGAGTGTATCAGTGGGACATTTTTTAGAGAAACTTAAAGGGGACCTATCATGCAAAATGCGCTTTTGTGCGTCTTTTATACATGAACATGTGTCCCCGGTGTGTCAGGGAACTCACCAAGTGTCAGAAAACACAACCCTCTCCCTTTTCCTCCATACCCAAATCTCTAAAAACGGGGCTGCAACGGAGCTGATACATATTTGAAATTGTTCTGACGTCAGAAAAGGGATGCTCCGCCTATATGGGCAACTCTCCACCTATCAGGGGAATGGGGGGTTGGGCCATGGCCACGGCCATTGCCGCTCCAAAACGCTGGAGACGCTGTAGTACATATGCCAGGCCTGTAAGTGGCGCTGTAGTCTGCCACAAAAGCAGCGAAGAAGACTTCTCACAGAATCAGCCCTTGCAAAAACAGAGCTGGAAAAGAGCAAATAGAGCGAAATGAGGCATGGCTAAAATGCATGATCTATTTGGTATTTTGAAAAAAAAACTTCACAGACATGTTTTATATAGGTATGGCCCTACAATATATTATTCAAATATAGCATGATAGGTCCACTTTAAGTGGTGCCCTACATTGTTAAATAACGCACACTTAAGTACTAACGTTGTTTTGTTCAAATAAAGACAATCTATGTTGTACAGCTGAGAAGTTGAAGCCGCCAAACTAAGGCTCCTATAAATTGAAATGAGTTTCTTTACCATGTGGTTCCCCTATGGTACATGTGTGGGCTTTACCCTGTTCTTGAGGAGCGTCACGTATACAGAAACACTTTTTTACAATTGTTTTACGATTTGGCTGTGAGTCAAGGGGTTGATGTAAAAGGCGTATAAATGCGCCTTGGCTTGCTACACGTAATATTTAAGTTAATTGAGAAACATTTTTTGGTGGAGAGAAGGAGGATAAGTCAGCAGAAAAGTCCTTAGCACCTGAGGTTGTGATGCCTCTTGTGGCCTGCACGTTTATCCCTCCCCTTCATCGCTCGGCACTACAGTACCACTTATCTGTTCCCGTTAAAGCAGGGCAGGAATTGCCCCGCAGGATGCATGCGGCCCACCCACAGTGTGGTACGTCTCCTGGCATTAGTACACACATGCTTACCCTGCCATTTTTAACTGCCTCTACAGACGTGGTGAGAGGCAGAAACCTCCACCGTGTCTATACTGTATCTGCCTCAGGCGCAGTTAAACACACTCCGATCCAACGGTGCCGTGTGCCAGACTGAGCAGATCAGTTAGGGGGCAGAGCTGGATCTCGGACCATCACCGCCATTTTCTTAATGTAATGGCTTTTGCTATAACAGCCCTGTTAGCATGAGGCCAGATCATTTGGAAATCGATTTGTTACACTAGCATAGCTTATTGTTTAAAGACCGAGCTTTTTGTAATGCATACTTTCTGTGGGTGTTTCAGGGTTATAAATGACATTTAGAAACTTCAGACAGATTCCTTTACGCAGTTAACATCCATGCTTATGACACAAATTGTCATAAGATGTTTTAAAACCTTAAATTATGTTATTACAGGCTTAATGACCAGCATGCAGTTGTTTTGTAAACCTTGTGATGGAACAGATGACCAGCGGAGCAATTTCTAAACCTTGGGATGGACCACAGAACAAATCAGAGCATGTAAAATAACAACAAAGAAAGAATATCCACTCATAACATAGAAAAGTGTCTGGGAGTGATTTTCAAAGAAGTCCATTCATCATCTCAATCAGCGCAAATGAAAGTTATCCATTTCAACTATTAGCCCCTCCATTGAGAGGTCCGGTTTGCAGCTTGAGTGATTAAAATGGCTCTTTTAATATCCCCTAATGTGTACCAGCCCTCAACTCATTACCCCACTTCCCTTATTATGCAGGACCCCTGCCTGCATCAGTGCTCATTTGAACAGAACCTCTCTAAATGTCCATGTGAGTGCCTTATGTATAATCTCACTCAGACCCCCACCCCCACCCCACTACTCCTGTCAGTATGTTCACAATTTGGACCTCCACCAACATCCGATTTGGGCAGAATCCCATTTTGTAAGGCTCCTCTTTAAGGCGCCTAGTGTTGCTGTTTCCACCCTGTGTGGCCCCTTGGTATCAGGCTTAAGATCAGCTCATGGTTCCCACTTTAGGGGGAGGTTTAGGTAGAACCTCCCTGCAGCCTTTTCCTCCCAACACACAGAGCACGCTCAGGTCAAAAGCACCCTTCCTGTTTGTTCAAGTAACATGGGAGCAGTTTTTACAAAAATAGCACGCTGGTTGGAGCCGCTCCACGATCGTTCGATGCAGTAATTCATGCAAATTGATGCTCTCCATCTCGCACACATTTAATATGCATGGTCACGCAGATAGCTTACAGTCTTCTAAGCTCTAGTAACATCAAGGGATATCACTTAATTTGAGTTCATAGTTCATTAAAGGGCCACTTTTCCCATCCCTTTCCTCAAGGCTTTCAATTGTGTAAAACTGTATGTACGGGACATAATGAAGTGAAAATATAATCACTGTCAACAGAGGCTGTAGCTTAGGAACAGCTTAGGATGTTTTGTTTTGAAAGATGGCAAACATAATCAACCCTAAGTGATTTAGAGAGGTACTGGTTTATAGGACATTCACCACATGTTAGTGTCTTGTTTTAACCATGTTTCCTCTCACATCTTAAAACCTGGAAACAATCTTCGCCTTTCCTAAAATCTGCTAACTTATGCCGCGTTTCCACTACACGGCCTCGCTCGGCCCCGCTCGGTATGGCTCGGCCTCGTTAGGACTGGCTCACTTTATGGCGCATTTCCATTACAGTTTAGGAACTGGGGCAGTATCTATAGTAACGCAGTGTAGGCGGAGCCGTGACGTGATCTTCAGAGGACCCCAGAAAAACAACACAGCCGTTAGCTGTTAGCACTCAGAGCTCACAGTTCCTCATATATGTTCAGAAACTAGACAAAAGTTAAACAAGTACAAACCACAGACTGCCTGTGTCATGGTGAATACAGTCGCTGCTTTATTTATGTCTGTATAGGCCGTTGTTGTGAGTGTGGACGGTCGGAGCATATACTGCGTTAGCTTAGCCAATCTCCATTTAGAAAACAAGCATTTTAAAAGGTTTTTCCCCTGCCGTCTGTCTGCAGACTTGACAAAGCATTAATTCATGGTTTTTACTAACCGGTATCAGTATGTTGTTACTTCGGCATCATTTTTGAAACGTGTATTACAATTAAATCACGGTCAAATATGTCCATCTTGTTGTAGTTGTTGCCCCCTTGCCAGCGACGCTCTCTCTAGTTTAGCATACTCAGCCCGACTCAGCCTCGTTGTCTCTGGCCCTGGCCCCACGATTTTATGAGGCCAGAAAAACTGTGAATTAGGACCCGCCGGCCGGTACTAGGCCAAGTGGAAACGCAACCAAAGACGGGCCGCTGACGTCACAGCCCTCTTAAACCGGGCTGCGGGCTGTAGTGGAGACGCGCCATTAGTGAGAATGTTTAACCAAGGAGAAATCCGCACTGTAGAGGTAGCGGTGTGGAAATCCTCCTGTGTAATGTTCAATTAGAAATGGGTTAAAAATAGCCTGGGAAGGGACTTCTATGTAGACAGAAGGAAACCTGTGTTGTTGAATGAAGTTGACCCTGAGCATAGCTGGCCACACGTGTCGTGAGTCTCTCACTTCCTTGCGGTCGGGCCTGAAGACTGTCATTATGTGGGGCCGCAAATTCGCTTGACATGATCTTCAGACATTAAATCATTCGAAAGAGTCCAAACATCTCCCACAGTCTGAGGTATTTCTGTCAGAGTTTACTCCACTTGCCTTCCTCTGTGTGTGTACAATGCATGTTGTGATACAGTGATTCAACTGTATTGTTGTAATATTCATCGTTATTGATCGTACCTTAAGAATTGATACATGTTCTCTGTAAGAAGAGCAACTCTGTTTTTATTGTACGCCCCGTATCACAGAATATGGGTTAGGGATGCCGGAATGAATAGATAGGTGTGCAACTATCTGAACATGCCGTAGCTGGTTTAGCAGGGGAATTATCAGGGAGAGAGAAATATAAAATGTTAAAAAAGCCATGTAGAAGAACTGAAGTGATCCCGGGGCTGGAGGCGTTGAAAGTTTCATTGTAATTAGTAGGTAGAGCAGAAAATTAAGAGCCTTTTTTTCCCCAACCCAGTCTTGAGTGTGTCATTTTATTTTTCACATTACCTTATTTAGCCTACCCTTTCTCCACCAACATTTCCCTTTAGCCTCTCTTTTAGCCTTTACTTAGTGCTCTTTTGTGTGATCAAAAACAGTAAGCGATTCCCATGTGGCACATTTTTTCCAACCTTATTGTTCCATGCTGAATGTCATGTTATTTTTTATTATTTGACCTTTTCTGTGTGTGTAAGACCCCACCCAGACAGGCTCCCTCCCACTTTTTGATGAAAAAAGGATAGTCTTGATGCAAACTGTGGCAAATCTATTTAAAAACTGTAGACTCACAGTCCCATATTGGATTTTCTATCCTTTCTCTTCTAATTTGAAACTTCTGTAAATCATATATTTCTCCCAATTTTCTTGCCCAAAAAAACATTGAAATTGTCATCAAGTACAGTTAAGTCATTTGACAGCAATATAATGAGTTTACAAAAGCTCTAGTGATCTCTATACAAATTGATGGCTACACCAGCACGAGTTAGCCTGAATACACATTATGTAATGTGTATCTAGGCAAAGAAACAGCAGTTGTGGCTTTAACTTCTCCCATAACTGACAGAATCCTGGAATATAGCCGTTTAACCGGTTAACCTCACATTCTGCTCAAGACTGGACTCTGATTTAGGTTGACAGGCAGCATTTTTCTTTTCAAAGTTAACAAAGCTGATGGATTTTTGTTTTATTCCATTTAACAGACAGTTAATGTTTGAAAAGATGCTGTCGAACTCTTTCTTGATTTAGAAAATATGACCACATAAACGAAAATGGTAATTCCAATCTTAAAAGGAGAGGAAACTGCAAACGCTTGAAATCACTACTTTGAAAATGTAGGTCCACTGACACTTCAGTAAAATGGTGCAAAGATTGACTCAGACAATATGTTTTGGTGGCTAAATATGTCTTCTATGTCCACACATATCAGCCTGTTTTTGTAAGTTGACATGTCTCTAATCTTTGCTAGTAATTTTCCTTTGACAACGTGTAGTGGCCAATAAGTGGTTGTTGTAGCCACAGAGAAGCCTTCCTTTCTGCTCCAGTGACTCTAATTTGACGGGAGAGGTGATCTGGGCTGCATTAACTCAACCCTAGAGGACCTCGATGTCCCAGGCTTATCCATGACGGACTGGTGTAGCCCTAAGAATCTAGGGTGGGGTTAGTTCAGGGCCTCACATTTAGCCTTTTCTCTCCAGGTGATAAAGATGTTGTGAGCTTGCACCTGGAACTCTAATAAAAGACTTAACAGCCGTTTTGGGTCAGCAGTAAAATCTGAGAGGGATGTGAGAGCTTGTTACAATGTGGTGTGAAAGAATGCTAAAGCACCAGTAACATACTCTGACACCTCAGGTCCCCTTTGTTATGGGCGGACATGCACTTGAATAGGCTCGCTGCACACATTCACACACCTGTTTAATGGAATACACCAATTCACCAGAGCTGGGTTCATTAAGTTCAAAGTAAGGCGTTGATAAAAGAGGTGATTTCTTATTTTATTTGGGGTCAGTTAAAATGTATTATGTATACACTGTATGAATATAGGTATTCTATGTGCATAAACTACCCACAAATCCAATAATTTTATGAGGTGCTATATGTTGTATTGTTATTCTGCCTAAGATTTCTGTAGATTTTTAAGTGATTCATGATACCAGAGATCCTTCCAGATTTGTTGTTCAGCCTATACAGACATCATTTTAAAGTGGACCTATCATGCTATATTTGAAACATATATTTTAGGGCCATACCTATATAAAACATGTCTGGTATTTTGAAAAAAAAACTTCACAAACAGATCATGCATTTTAGCCATGCCTCATTTCGCTCTATTTGCTCTTTTCCAGCCCTGTTTTTGCAAGGGCTGATTCTGCTTTTGTGGCAGACTACAGCGCCACTTACAGGCCTGGCATATGTACTACAGCGTCTCCAGCGCTTTCGAGCGTTCTCTCATTCCCCTGACAGGTGGAGAGTTGCCCATATAGGCGGAGCACCCCTTTTCTGACGTCAGAAAAATTCAAATAATAATCAGCTCCGTTGCAGCCCCGTTTTTAGAGATTTGGGTATGGAGGAAAAGAGAGAGGGTTGTGTTTTCTGACACTTGGTGAGTTCCCTGACACACCGGGGACACATATTCATGTATAAAAGACGTACAAAAGTGCATTTTGCATGATAGGTCCCCTTTAAGTCACAATCTTTCTTCCATCTTAAAATATGGGGAATAAAAACCCTCTAAAATACAAAATACTGGAATGCATCACTCAGGTTGATTGAAAAGCCGATATGTTTGATTATGTTAAGATGGGAATCAAATTGTATTTTGTTTTTTAATAACTCTTTATTTCATATTGCCAAAATGGCCTCAAAGACAGACCTATCCATTGATAAGGTTGGAAGTTACTTTACTCTTTATTCTTTGTATTGTATCATTAGAAACTCTTGACACCCCTGACCTGATTATTTTATGTGCAGCATTACAGGCAGGACTGTGAGACATTTCGCACAGTGGTGAAGATGTTGGTGGCCAAGGAACCCACCTTGAATAGTTTGCTACAGGCTCCGCTGGATAATAATCTTCTGGAGATCAAAGAGCGCTGCCTTGATGCCCTCAGGCACTTTGTGAAGGAGCTGGATGAGGTATTATAGTAGCTGTACAACTCAGCAGAAGCTACAAGTCAAAAAATGTGTTCTTTACATGTATTTAAAACCTGTATTACATTCTTTAACCAACAATTAGTAACAGTGATTCATGAACCATGTTAAAGAAAAACTGTCAAATATGTTTTTAAATGTCAATTGTCTTGCTTTGTCTCATTGATAAATCTACTGATTAATGTAATAATGAAACTTTCCAATCAAATCACGTGTATCAGTTAGTGATATGAAGTGAATTCTACTATCTGTATTTCTTGCAAATCAAGACAAAGAGTGCAACTAACACGAACTGTAACCAGTATTCTCAAACCAGTATCGAAGGGTCAAACTCCAATAATGTTTCTCAGATGTTTTTATTTTATTATATATAACATTTACTGACTTTCTATATATAGAACATGCATTTGTATTGTCTTTTAGATGTCTTTTTAGTTACACTTTTAAATAAAAGCTGAGGCATTAAATATAGGTGATGTCTTCTCTTGTTTCTTATTTCCATTTAGTACTACTGCACAGTAAATAACAAGGCAAATCATGATATATAGATATTTTTATTACAATGATCATCTATCTTAGCCTTATATTCCAGTTTGTACATTTATACAGATTACAACAATTTGCTTACAATACAGTGACCCATAAATACACCACTCAACCAGGCCTTTTAATACACACAGTGTTCCTCTTATGTTAGCGCTGCACATGCCTGGAAGAAAACACATTTGAAGAGCTAGGGTCAGAGTCAACTGGTCCATTTCTGACACCCTTGTGGAAATATGGCTCTGTACCAACTGCTAATGTTAATGCCATTTTGGTACAGATCATGTCATGAAATCAAGGGTATAAAAATAGCCATAATGTCTTTTAATTCTACAATATATACATCAATATCTTCACTATTAAATAAAGACAGTTTGGATGGTGGTTTATAAATATGTATTGCTCTAAAATACTTTGTTACTTTTACTGGCAATGTTTGCAATGACATGCGTACACTTATGATGACTTGTGTCGTACACAAACATATTGGTACATTTAGTGCTGTGAAGCGTTTAGGAGCAAGCAGACTGTTGAGAGGCAGAGGTGAGTAGCAGAGCATTACCCAAAGATAAGGATAAGAGAGCAAAGCAAGTCTAAGAAATTATACAGTTTTTCCCCTTATGCCCTTTCTTCTTTTTGGACTTAGTCCGTAAGCCGTAAGAAGGAGAAGACATGCCTGCCACAGGACTAGGCAAGTCCTCAGTGTAGTAATGTCTATGGGGCCTGGGCTGAGGGATGGGCTGACCCAGGAAAAATCCTTCTTCCTCAGAATCAGATGAGGAAGAAGAGCATGTAGAACACCAGTCATCATCATCCCCATACAGCTCCAATAACCTCCCCATGGCTTGGCCCTGTAGTCCATAGTCTGACATGGCAGCAGGATTTTGGTGGCCTTGGAAGGCTTGGTGCGCCTTTGGGCCGAGGGCATTCCCTCTATGGTCGAATTTGTGGCAAATTTTGGCCTTCTCCTTTGGCAGAAGGTTTAGAGCATTGTCAGAGCGAGATTTGCGACTGCGATGCCTCCTGTTGTGGTGATGTTGGCGACCACTCTGAAGTTCCTGGCCCTGCTCCTCAAAGTGGTACACTCTCCGGCGAGTTCGTTCACTCATAGGTGGTTGGCGCACTGGGACATCGCAGTAGTGGCCATTGTCCACCACGTCATCAGAGAACTTGACTTGCTGCTGCCTAGATTGTGAACGAGTCCTCCTTAGGGCAGGGACATGAGGTTTGGGCCTGCTTTCTGGGAGAGTCACCTCTTCTTCTGGAACATTTTCCTCCTCGGGCTCGGATACAAGGCTCTTTAGGGAATTTGCACTTCTGTGTAGCATAGAGGAGTTGAGGGTTCCCATATTACTTGTTTTCTCACAGTCATCTGCCTCCAGGTCATGGAAGCCTTGCAGGGAATATACCGAAGGTCTATCTGTCCTATCACCATCAACCGAGGCCCCTATAGAGGAGAGAGACACATTTGTAAATGTTTGCACATAACAATCACTGCCATCCAATAAAATATGATTTACTATGATCTGATACATTGTGTCATATCTACTCACCGGTAATATTTGAGAGTGCCAGTGAGTCCATAGAGTCTCGGACACTCTGATCTGTCTTCTTGAACTCATCTGTGATGCACTCCAAAGAGTCATTATACCATACGGGCTCTTCTATCTGGAAGCCTGCTCCAGCCCCATGATCAAGCTCCAACTCCTGGATCTTTCTGCTGCTTGCTGGACCCGGATGACTACCATAGGCAGAGTCCCCAAGCCCGTCCTGTGACTGGGCCCAGTACATATCAGCCTGGTACTTCTTACTGGCTAGGCTCCCCCTTTCTCCTCCACCAACATGGCCAGATTTCGATGACTCCTGCTTGGACTTGGCATCCTTTTGGGTGATCCAGAAATCTGCAGGTCTGGATTCATTTGCTTGCTGGAAGACCCCATGTTCCCCAAACTTTAATAGCAACTGAGTCATGTAGTCTTCATGCTCAGCCCACTCCTCCTCCTGGTCCTCAGATGCCTCTGTCTCCTCACCACGTCCCCTCCAGAAATGCTCATCTGATAAGTTCACATGGGCAAGCTTGTTGGTCAAGGTGTCCTCCACGTTTTCACTCATACCAGGGAACTTGTAGTTGACAGAGGGTGAGAAAAGGAGGGACTGTCGGCATTGGTCGGCTGAACGACTGCTCTTGCCCATGCGCACACTGCGGCGGGATTCCCGTGAGCGTGCTGACTGGAAGGCAGAGTCTGAGGAGTCAGAGGCATGCACGTCTTCCCCAAGACTGCAGGCCTTGGAGCAGTAAATCCGACCCTGGTGTGGCAGAAAGGGGCAGCCCAAAAGAGAGCTCTTACACTGGGCACAGCTGAAGCAGCTTTCAGTGGCATGCCAGTGGAGCCCATCATAGGTCATCTGAGCATGATCAACGCCTGGAAAACGGACAATATTGAGGTGGTTAGAATTGCTACTTAAGGTCTTAAGACTAAAGTCAAGACAATCATGCCAGGTATTTTAATTCTAGAAAATCATCATTACCAATGTGTTCCCCACAGGCCTCACAGTACTCTGCGTAGAGTGACTCAAAGCAGCCACAACAGTAGGGTCTGCCATCCTTCATGATGTAGCGCTGGCCCCCCAGGATTGTCTCACATTCAAAGCAGGCAAAATGCTTCATGTGCCAATGGCGCCCCTCTGCCTCTGTGCACTCGTCAGCGAAGATAATCTGAGGAAATAGATGTACCCTGGATAAAACAAAACCGCCAGCATTCGCCCTTCTGGCTGTAATATATATGTTGGATTAGACTGACTCTAAAAGGCCATAAACTTCAGACTCAGAATGTTTTTCTTTCACTAAATTGTTTCCTGTCAGTATTTCAGTTTTGTTGTTTTACCTCTTCACAGGCTGAGCAGCGTGGTTTGAGTAGCTCAGCATGATGCCTTCCACAGTGGATCTTTCCATCATGGTAGAAGTAGATCAAATCCACCAGCAGTTCGCTGCATGTGGAGCAGGCAAAACATGCCGGGTGCCAGCACAGCCCAGGACCCGCCCTCGAGGAGAACACTGCCATTTCTCCACCATTGATGTTTTCACCGCACTGGAATTTGAAGATATGATTACATGGTTGATTATAACATCCTGGAATGAATGTAGTTCCAAAATATTCTGTGATCAGATCATCTGAATCATGCATTGGTGATTACATATATCATACCACTACATGGACAAGGTTTTGGCTTCAAGCCCATATAATGGCGCGTTTCCACTACAGCCCGCAGCCCGGTTTAAGAGGGCTGTGACGTCAGCGGCCCGTCTTTGGTTGCGTTTCCACTTGGCCTAGTACCGGCCGGCGGGTCCTAATTCACAGTTTTTCTGGCCTCATAAAATCGTGGGTCCAGGGCCAGAGTCAACGAGGCTGAGTCGGGCTGAGTATGCTAAACTAGAGAGAGCGTCGCTGGCAAGGGGGCAACAACTACAACAAGATGGACATATTTGACCGTGATTTAATTGTAATACACGTTTCAAAATGATGCCGAAGTAACAACATACTGATACCGGTTAGTAAAAACCATGAATTAATGCTTTGTCAAGTCTGCAGACAGACGGCAGGGGAAAAACCTTTTAAAATGCGTGTTTTCTAAATGGAGATTGGCTAAGCTAACGCAGTATATGCTCCGACCGTCCACACTCACAACAACGGCCTATACAGACATAAATAAAGCAGCGACTGTATTCACCATGACACAGACAGTCTGTGGTTTGTACTTGTTTAACTTTTGTCTAGTTTCTGAACATATATGAGGAACTGTGAGCTCTGAGTGCTAACAGCTAACGGCTGTGTTGTTTTTCTGGGGTCCTCTGAAGATCACGTCACGGCTCCGCCTACACTGCGTTACTATAGATACTGCCCCAGTTCCTAAACTGTAATGGAAATGCGCCATAAAGTGAGCCAGTCCTAACGAGGCCCAGCCATACCGAGCGGGGCCGAGCGAGGCCGTGTAGTGGAAACGCGCCATTAGATGTCTCTGAGAGCCAAGCCGACAGAAACTAAAGTATCATATTGAGGGGGTGATTATGTGTCCCATCTTTGTGGGCAATATTTGTCCTAAAGACAGTCCCCAAGCAGCTAACTTCTTTTCTCTTTTTGATCCTTGCATCACATGAGGAAGGGACTTTTCAAATCAACAGTTTCTGTTAAGGGACTCTTTAATATAATGTCTGACAATGAGGTTTTTATTACAGCTTTCCCTCTAGGGTTTTAGCACAAACTGGATTCAGATTAGCTAAATATAGTTGAACAAATTATGTTGGGTTTTAAAATCTGGACTAGATAATTGACTTCAGAACAAATGTCATGCTTTCCACACTCTCCCAAAACACGGCATATAACAGTTGTAAATAATAAATTCAAGACCGGGAACGTACATGTTCACAAATGCTGTTCAGAACATTTCGAGGCAGCAGTTTCACTGTGCCCCTTCCCAGTGCTTCCTTTTTCCTCTGGACACTGAACATAAGGAGCTCCTTCTTCTCCTCTTCACTGAGGGACTGGCAGTAACGCACCTGGGGAAAAAAGTAATACGTTATGGGTATGAAAGCTAATTTCTCAAACATTTACTTCTACATCAATCAGTGGGATTCTCTCTTTTGAAGGCCTTATACTGATAAAAAAACCCTGCTGTTGTTCAAGTTACCTTTTCATTATACATCCCTTAAAAACGCAATTGCAAGAATGTCGGCCACTAATAAAAGGTTATAAACGTAGGTAAGTATAAGAGAGGGCAGAGTGCATACCAAGCATGCTGAACAAAGGCAACTCTTGACCCCAGCTTGCCCTTCCTACACCCCCTACATATCTCCACCCACAGTCGCTGATTGAGAACATACTTTTTACAACAGGCCTTTCTGATGTTTCCCTAAGCCTTAACAAGAGGGA